TTAATTTCAGCTATGGTCCAGTTAAGGACATTAAAGCTGTATTGCACCACAGGGACAGCCAATGTGTTTATGGCTGATATTCTGTTTTTTGAGTTTAGCTCAGTATTTAGTACCAGACGTACACGCCTGTAGTACACTTTTCTTATTTTTTCTTCATTTGGGGGTGTTGTATGCCATCTCCTTCGCTAATTCCTAGGTACTTATAAGCTTCATTATGCTCCAGTTCCCTAATCTTTGTGACAAAATCTAAATCTATTAAGGGTGTTTCTGTAATTCTACCTTTCTTGAATGTTACTTTTGTTTATTATTATTATTATTATTATTATTATTATTATTCCTTTGTTCTCTGGTGCATACTCATTTCTTTCCAGATCCTAACTAGAGACCTAAGGTCAGAAATGGCATCATGACATTTTCTACTGAGCATTTAAAAAAAACCAAGACCACACACATTTTACATAGAAAGCCCTTCGTAAGGTGTGAGTTATACTTATGAAATAATAATAATAATAATAATAATAATAATAATAATAATAATAATAATAACAACAAAAACAACAACAACAACAACTAGGTACTACTAAAATGGATGCTTTTTTTCCTGAAATGAAAGCAAAAATCGCTACATCCTGTTTTAAAATATTTGCCCAAAATCAAGAACATTTTCTAATTGAAACGAAATTTTCAGTACTTATTTATTAATGAATTGATTCTTTTTTTACTGAAAAGGTTTTATTAAAAAGAAAAAAAAAAAAAATGGAGGAAAAACTGTAGGGAATATGTATAAAGCTCTTCCCCGTGACTTTTCCAGGCTGATTCTCGTTAATTTTATAGTTCTTCAACCTTGACTCCTTACATTTCCTCCTTTCTTCAGGAATATATTTTAATTTTATGTTGACGATGACGCAAAAATTCTACATGTGATTTTTAGAGGGCCTTACTAAGGCAGACGACATCTAAGCACGCTATCACAATATTTGTTTTTGTTTTTTCGTTGATTGTTGTTGTTTTAAAAGTATTCCTTCTATAATTGCCTACTTTCTATTAGTTACTTTAATTAATTAGTAGAGCAATTATAAAAGTGAAATTAATTTTAGTATATAATCACAAAAGTTACTGAGCTTTACACTCTTGAAACATTGTCTATTGATCATTGAAGAGATTTTATTATTATAACTATTGGACAATAAGAACAGCGTATAGGCTAAATTCTTTAAAAAAGGCTTTAAGTTTATTACAACGAAAGAAAATTAAGTCGAAAAAAGAGATAAATCCAGCGAGATTGAATCCATCATTTTTTCTTTTTTAATTAAAGATTGAGTTTATGTTTAAATCTCTGTTCAGTTTTTGGTGTTTAAGAATTTTCTTAGCCATCGATTATATTTTTTAACAAGTTTCTTTCAAAATATAAATTAGTTCAAGTATCCGCTTACTAAAAAAATAAGAGGAAGAGAGAAAAGGATTTACCCTATCTTCTTTTTTTTTCTGCAAAGTGTTTAAGAGATAATCAACTAGCTGTCTAAAATCGATTTTCATCCGTCACCTCATACTGAGGGTATCCCAAAACAAATTAAACAAACAAAACCACAAAGTCGTTCAACCAGCAGATTTGACAAATAAGTTAACAACAGTCTTTGATAATTACTAAGGGTTCATCTGTGACCGAGAATTAGGGCTTTCGCTTTATGAATTGATTTTTTTTTTTTATGTTGATGCAACACCTGGCTTTATGGATCTTTCCCAACTGTTTGAGTAAGTTAAATACTTCTTATTAAAAGGCTCTCAAAACAATCGAAGTGTCTGTATTTTGCCAGTGTTTTAGTGAATGCTGCGTATTTTATAAGGGTTCCCTTTTTCACAGACGTCAACCACAGTCGCTGCCGAGAGAGAAAGAGTAAAATAGGAAACAGGACAAGTTCTGTTAGCAGCAGCCGTAACAAGAGGAGGAAGGGAAAGGAAATTGGGAAATGGTGATGCATCATTATTATTGTTAACAGCAACAACAACAACTAGGTACCACCAAAATGGATGCTTTTTTCCGAAATGAAAGCAAAAAATCGCTACATCCTGTTTTAAAATATCTGCCAATAATCAAGGAAATTTTCTGATTGAAATGAAATTTTTACAGACTGAATAGTTTTTTTTTTTATTAAAAAAAAACTTGGGTGAAATATTTGGTGGCGGGGAGTATGTTTTACGCCCCCCCCCCACACACACACTTTTTAAAAAAAATATGTGGGGTGTCCGTTCATTTTTTTTTTTACAGTTTTATAAAGAAAAGTCCTTGAAGAAAAAAAAAAGTATGCAATATCAAGTGTGAACATACGAAGAATTCATCCCGAATTTTCCCCAAAAATAATTCAATAAAAATAACACTTGCATAAAAATGTCGTTATCTTCTTACAGATTTGACAGAAAAATAATCCACACTTAATATTTATTTTTTTAAATTACTTGTAATTTTTCAGTGTGATTTTGAAATTCATCCCGTCGCTGTTCGTCACAAGATTCTTTTATTAAATAAAGACATGTTTGAAGAATAAAAAAATGCAAGGTTTAATGCCATTTTCGAATGTGAACCTTTTTTAAAATGATTTTATTTTTTTACCTTTTTAGCTGCAATTAGAATATTTTTGGTATGGATGTACAAAAAGGACATAAAAAGGCAGTTTTCCAATTTATCGGTACGGGTGTTTTTTGTTTATTTATTTATTTTTGTATGTCTCTGTTTTCCTGCATTCATTTACAGATTCGTGTATACAAGAATAACCAATAATTTCTTCAGTAATTAAACATTGTTATTTTAAAGTATATCTGTCTTATTTTTCCTGAATAATTTCTTGCCCTCGCCGCAAAGAAAATTTTCATAATTACGACGAAACTATTTCATATGCATAAAAGTATACTTTACCGTAATTTTTCTAAAATTTATTCTTAAATGTTTTTCTGTTCACATTAAAACGCAAATTACATTTTACTATATTTTTATTTTGGTAGCGACATAATGCCTTCAAATTTATTCATTATACTAAGTTGAATAAAAATGTATAGAATAAAAATTATATTCTTAAACTATTGGCTACAGAAAATTTACTTTTAACTATAAATTACAGATTCTTGATCATTTCACTGTTAGTCTTCCGTATATTTCCTTAAGTTTTATTTTTACTTTTTCGTGCCCTTCAATGTTTCTATGTCGTCCTTTTACCTCACAGGATATTGTGATAAAACTTTATTTTCATTCTGTTTTAAGTAAAAGGTAAGCATTACTTTTAGAAAATCCGGATAATTAAGTCTTAAATTTACTAACAGTCTTGGAAACACATCTCTAGAACAAATATAGGAATTTAAACAGAATTTTAAATTTGTGGTTTATATTTTTCTTATATAAAGGCGGCTTCATAAATAGATGAGTAACGAAAAAGCGTACCAATGTTTTAAAATTGCCTAAAAAATGTATTTATTTATATAAGGAATTTTTATTTTTTTAATTCGGATTAGCTTTAGGCCATTATCGTTCAAATAGAAATAAAATTTAAGTTCAAAGAAGGCATTTAAATTATTTAAAATTGGGACTTTTTTTCGTGGCGGAACCTAATAATAAAAAAGTATATAGTTATGCGGTGAAATGAAGATTGATTTTTAAAACGCTCTTCTAGTTTGTGTACGAGACGTATTTGGGAGATCAACGAATTGAGTTCTTTCGTTTGTGATTAAAATTGCCATACTCCTTTTGGAGCTTGTTTTAAACTGTTAAACACAAGTGCAATGCTTTAACATTTGGTTATATTATTAGTTACTGAGTGTGTAGTCAATACGAAATAATAAATCCCTTCACCCACTGTCCCTTCAAATTCGACTGAGGAAGAAGTAAAGTAATTCGAAATCTATCGGAAATTCTTTTTTAACCAATGAAAACCTTGCCTTTACAGTAATTAACCAGTCAGCCGAGAAGAAAAAGAAAAGAAAATAGCAAGTCTACGTAAAATTAAATTTGATATAAAATGAGGAGAAAAATTAAATAAATCAAACAAGAGTGTATGAAGTCATGTGAAACGTTTCGTTTCAGTTCTTCGTGACCAACCAGCATTAAAGTTCTCATTAGTGTAAAAGTACTAAAGAAGAAACTGTTATCTTAGAATTTACGGTTAAATCTAGGCATTTCAATTATAAAATGATGTGATATTGCCGCCAATCTAATACGAGGCTTAAAGTCATAAAGTCTAGGTACCAGAGAGGAAAGCTCATCAGAAAAAAATACAATTAAAATATTTATAGAAAAGGCACATGGAGGCTACATTGAGGCGGGGGTAAAGTGATTGAAGCCGAGATGCCAAGTCAAGCCCAATAATTTTGCAGATTCTTTGGATTTTATTAAGAATATCTAAATGCATAGCAGAAAACTCAGACCAGATTTGACAGCATTATTCAACATATGAGCGAATGATAGTGTAAGGCAGATTCTGTCGAGAAAAAATGTCTGCATTTAAATTGTTGAAGATCAGAGTTGATTGGAAAGCAAGAAACCAAAACAGACTTCAATAAGCGAGAAATGGCGAGAGAAGAAACTATTGGCATAGACCTTACGGTTACATCTAGCAATTACAATTATAAAATGGATACCTAACTGCCAATCTAGTACGAATGCGCTTAAATTCATAAAGTCGAAACACCTTGATAATATAGCTTATACACACGTACATATTGATTTATATATATATATTTTTTACGGTTTATCAAGCTTTGAAGGTTATTTAAAGCCTGAAAATATTTTTAAGATTGCATTGTGTTTTTTTCGTGGGGAGGGATACATAATAATCATTTAGGGATATATGTCCTACTAATGAGGCCATAGCTGGGGGTGGGAAAGTGGTGGATTCATACCTATCCCAATGGTATTTGCGTATAAGTGAATAAAACGAACCCAATGGGAATTGGACATCGGCTCTCCGATCTCCATTTCCGAGTCGTTATTCATTACCCCACCCACAAATCCAAACTTACAGCACTTGATATTCCCAGGCAGTCACTCATCTAGGTACTAATCACGCACGTAGTTGCTTAACTTTTTAGAGATCGTACGAAAATCGGTGTTTCAATGC